TTAATCTACTATAAAAATTTGTATATATTATCTCTTAACGTGGCTGTAGTGTGCGCTTAAACAGGCGCAGAAAGTTAGTAGGGTGGGCCGCTCGCTTGCGTGGGCCGCTCGCTTGCCAACCATGTTACCTAGACTTGAACTGTTAGCTCCATACTAGGGTACCAAGCTGTTGAGCTTGGTCTGGCGATGTCTTCGGTTGCGATTGCCTATCTCAATCTCGCCTTCTGTCACTTTCTGGGACCGAAGAGGACCACAAACCGTGGTACGGAACTGCACACTTATGCCCGATCGCGGACACGTTCCTGACTAGAGTTTTGGGCTTGATATCCGGCTGGTCTAGTACTCTCCAGGCGATTGAGCGGTTGCGACCGTCATGACGATTGACTTGAGCTTGTCGTTTCGCGATCTTGCAAGCCACTGAAGATGTCGGCGGTGGAGTCAGCTACCACATGATCGTATCTGTCGGGTAACGGCATCTGCACTATCCATAAGTCTTGCGATGCGGATCATGGGCATACAAAATTCAGCCAATGTTCCCAATACCGTGTCATCGGTCATATCTCCGTTATTACAACGCATGAAGAAGAAGAAAAAGCGGAGAAATTGCGCCGGTGAAAACAAACATAGTCCCGAAGCCAGCTTCGCACTGCATCTAGCATCTGATTCCGTGCCGTCCTTGTGATGAAAAGCAAAAAGATACGGCTGGGGACATGGAAGAAGCAGTTTCGGGTACGTGGTGCTGCAGCCGACCTTATGCAGAGAGCGGGTACCTCATCCCTCTTTTCAACTATTTTCCTTTTCTCGACGACGACGACTGCTTTTGCCTTCCGCGGCTGCGTTATGCAGTGCACTGAACAATTCTCCATCAATCGTCATGCAGCGATTGAACGAAGCTTTTCACTCCTGCATCTCGCCCCGCCCTCTCGTACTCACTGTGTATCTTCCCCCATCCTGTCGGCGCGTCTTCCTGCCATGTTGATACGGCCGTACCTTCTTTTGCAATGGATAGGATCGGCCCGCTCAGATGAAGAATCGGCTATGCTTTGGTAGTTTGGTTCGTTGAGTAATTGCGCGAGCATGTAAGAGACATGGCCGCATTCGGGTAGCATCTGAGGCAGGTTAGCCATCTGGTCGCGCCATGCAGGGGTTCAGGGGCTGGCTGGTGCGGGCAGACGGTGCAGGCCGGGAATGAAAAGAAAGTACCAAAAGGAACTTCGAAGAGAAACGTCGACATAACGATAACGTCACGGGTCAAAGCGTGCGGCCGGTAGCGAGATGTGGTATACGCGGCTAGGGGCGTTCCCGCGGGGGTGCTAAGATCTTGCGGAGGTTTCCGATGCAGGAGGGAGTCCCATGTCTTTGGGTCGAGGTGAATTGCAGGCGTGGCTGGCTGGGCAAAGTGATTTGGACACTGGACAAATGATTGCGTGCTGTAGAAGGTGTCAGAGTACATACAGAAAGAGGGAGTGAACTGAGGCCAAAGCATGTCGATTCCATTTGTGGAGTCTGCATAGACAGATTCTTCTAGTCTTATTGAGATGCTCCAACACCAAGTCCCTATGATTCATTATTCCATTACTCCAGCTGACTCCCCTTTCCAGTCAGACAAGACATACCCAAAGATACAGAGACCATATGCCCTTCCAGCAGTGACAAAGCAGAGATACAATAGGGAAACAATTCAAGATGAGCAGTGACGTTTCGTGATATCCAGTCCTCCATAATCAAGGGAATACTGGTGCAGGACAAAAACGCTTTTAACTCCTGATGGCAACGCCTGCGCCAAATTGTGATGTCCAAGAGTGTGCCGTATTAAGATTATGCCAAAGAGGCCTCCATATTGGCCCTCGTTCGAGAAATTAATGAGACAAGAGAAAAGTTTGGGCCAAATTGCCATCGTAAGACTGGCAATATAAAATCATCGACGAAAAGTTCGGGTATAAGCAAGAAGCGAAGGTCGACGTAGCAATAAATATGCTTTCAGGACTGAAGCTACTGCCCTCTGAAGTCACCAGGCCCCTGATTGGCAAAGATATAGCTCTTAGGCTGGGGTTCAGTCGTTCGCCGTAGTAGATTTCCATGTGAATCAGTGCCTTGAGGTGGAGTGTACTGGTGTACTAAAAAGTCGGGCATTGCGGAGACCTGAGGAGCGAAAGGAACGTTGTGATGGATGCCACTCAATGACATGTCCTTGAATTCATCGTAGTGCATGTTTCCAGCCGGCATGTACTGTGAACTACTGTCATTGCCTTGAGCCTGAGCAGTGTCAGGTAGTGATGGTCGTCTGAAATGCTCAGGCTTCGGTTGCTGGATCGTAAGGTCGGTAGTCGAATGAAAAGCCGCACGCATTTGAGGTTGTTGCATATATGATGTCCGAGGGAAATGTTGCTGTGTTGCTGGCGCTGACTGAGGAGGTGTGTCGCGATACAAAGCATCGTTGACAAAGCGCGACTGAAGGTCCAAAGACGAGGATGGTGGTGAAGTGGTCTTCGCGATAACATTTCCAGCTTGATCAGAAGACCAATTCGTGTGCATGCTCTCTGGACTATTGTGATCAGGCATCGCTGAGTGAGGCCTTATCACGGCAGCACCACCCCAGTAGTTTCCAAAATCCTGTGGTGTCAGTGGAGTTGGCGGTGCCAGACTACCGCCGTGTCCGATTGTTGTAGCACTGGAAGTGGAAAATGTTCGTGCGAACTTCGGCGAAGCTGCAGCATCCGAGAAGCTTGACACCATAGGTGAGCGCTGCGCAGAACCTGGTTGTGACTTTTGAACACGACCTCCAGCGTTTGGAATCCCACTCGATCGGATCCTTCGAATAACTTTGTCGCCGTTACCTCCTGGTGATGACATGGGAGCAGAGTAGGAAGCACTCCTCATTGCGCTGGAACTCAAGTTAACTGGGCGCTTCTGTCTTCTTGCCGCAATGCTCGATTGTTGATCTGGTTGCTGGAAACCGTCCGGAGTGCTGTTTCGGATGTGTATCGCGTCCATGTTGTTGGCAAGGTTGCTGCTTGAGGAGTTTCTCCGAGCGAATGCATCCTCGCGGAAGTGCAGTGGGATATCGAGATCAGATGGCGCCGCACTAAGCTTTCGTGCTTGTTCTGGTGTAGAGAGGATCGCATGTGCGGATGTGTTGGATTGTTGGTAGAAGTTTGACTGCGGGTACATTTGGCTGGAGCCATCCTGGGGCCAGAATGGAAGCGTCTGCTCGGAGGCTGATGCCTGAGCGAGACTGTACGGTGCGAACTGGTCCTCGGGCTCCTCGACCTGCTTGGGATGCGCCATTTGCGAAGGGTCCTCTGTCCAGCCAGTGTAAACGGAGTTCAACGAAGCGATAGAAGGAGGAGTTGGTCCATTCGGTGACTGAGTTGTGCCAGATGACTGGGTCCCATTGTAGGGCGATGCATCCGACGATATCGATCCCGTGCTTTGCTGGGCTTCCGCAGATGCCGAGTTACTGGTGTTGGTAGCAGCAAGCGCAGAATAGTCTAGCTGGAAGTCGGCAAAGTTGTCGAATTCTGGATGTGAGGGTGCAAGATTGTTGGGCATGGGCGCTGGAATCGAGAAAGCGCTTAGGTCGCTGGAGTATGCGTTGGACAGACCGGTGGTGTCGTAGAACTCGGGCTCTTGGGTATTCAGAGACATGCCACTGTTGTGCATGTAAGCACCGTTTGTCGCAGCCATGATGGAGTGCATGAGGTCGTTTGAGCGATATGATGCGGAACGGTCAGGTTCCGGAACGGAGTGAAGGCCGTGCTGCATGTCAAACTGTTGCTGTTGTTGCTGGTGCTGCTGCTGTTGGTGGTGGTGTTGCTGCAGTGAGAGTTGGGGCCCTAGGTCGAGGGCTGACGGTCCCTCGCCGATTTGCACGGGAAGGCTTGCAGGGCTAATGTCAGCGTTCGGGTAGAAGTCCGGCTGCATGAGCATATGCGGGTGTTGCTGCTCTTGCGGGTGTGCATAATGGTTAGGCATGGCCGGGACGTGGGAATGACCGAAGGGAAGGCTCATGGTCATGTTGTACTGGTTCATTAGCTTCTTGCGGTCCTGCTTGACTTTTGCCCTGCGGTTCTGGAACCAGTTCTGCACGCGAGTTAGCGAGGCACGGCATGCGCGCTCTGGGGACGACTTGCGTTGATCTTGTCCAGTGGCACGCCGAGGCGCGTCGCAAATTCCTTCTTCACATTGGTGCTGGGCTTGTGTTGGGCCAGGAAGTGCTGTTCGAGGATGTCGTGCTGGTCCTTGGTGAGGCGGGGTTTGACATCGCTGCCGGGCTGCTTGGGCGCAGAGGGTGCTGTCGTCGAGCCCCCGCTGGAATCCATGGCGGCGCGCACAGCGACAATACACCTCGAGCGGCTTCGGACGGGCGCAAGTCAAGAGGCGACAGGTGCTGCAGTGAAGTTGTTGTCGTGGGCGCGTTCGGGTAGTGACAGGCAGAGGTAGCTATGGAAGGTAGATCTGGGGCGCTGGCGATGGGCAATAATGCGTAGAGCACGGATACACGGGATGCACCGAGACGGGTCGGGGCTGGGATATAGATGTGTCGAGGGAAGATGCCAGTAATGGTAGCGAGTGACGGTTACGAAGGGGAGCGGGAAACAACAGCGGTAGACTCTATATCTACAATAGAAAAACGAGGGTATTCAGCGCGACGGCGCGGTAGGAAAGGCACGAAGCGAACGACGACGGAGAAGAAGAGCAGGAGGAGCGATCAGGTTGTTGGCTGCCGCTTGGTTGGTCGGAGGTGCTAACGTGCTAAGCCACTGAACCCCCCAGCATGCATTATGCTGCTCCGGCACAAAAATAGTTTCGTGACACTGGCTGTCTCCGCTCAGCACACCTCGATCCTGGAGAACATGCACCTGGTGATTCGAGCTCTTGTTTCTTGCACCTGCTCGCCCTCGTGCACTGTGGTGGAGGGCTGCCACCCTTTCACAGACACTTCGACACGCAGCACTGGCCGGCAGCCTCAACCCCCGACGCGCTTCACGATTGCGCGCACAGGGGCACTCTGCTCCAAGGCGCCAATTGGCCCGGCCATGGAGCGAGCTGCGGCGGCGGCTGTGATCCGCCCTCGGGCGGGAGACATGTCCCACTGATTCGAAAGCGATGGATGGTGCTGCAGCTTGGGCCTTCCCCCGTTCGGAGAATATACATGAGTGCGAGAGAGCATGTCAATGCCATGCCAAAGCAGCCCTTCTCAACCACGTTGCACGTCAAAATGTCTAGTGACGAGCCCATGGCCGCAGCCATGGCTTCAACGTGGACTGCGGGCTCGAGCGCGCTTTTGACCTCATGGCGTCAACACTGCGACTCGCCTTGTTGCCGACATGCCATGCCTCTCACGACTCGCCGAGTAGCTCTTTGTCAGTAACCGCTTCCGGTCCGAGTGAGTCGACCATCTGTGTGACGAGATGCCACCGGGCGCATGGCCAAGGGGCGTCTCGCGCCGCTGATCTGCTGCCTCGGATATCGGCGCACATGTTTTGGCATCAGATGGACTGTTCCTGAGCGTACCTTGCAGCAAAGGGGCCTCAGTGCGACGTACGAAACTCAAATTGGCCCCGCCTCGTCCTACAGACTTTGTGTGTTGACTGACTTGGGCAACGGACAATCCCAGCCTAGCTCCGAAGACTCAGTGCGCGCCCCAGCTGGGGGACCCGCTGGCCCAAACCAAAAGATGTCGTGCTGCAAGGGCGTCCCTATCATCAGGCGATGCACCCTGCCGACTTATCAGACCTCCTCGCCAACCCGTCTGAACTTAGTCTTCTCTCCTCACTCCTACGCCAGCTGGTCGTGTCGCACCACAGCGACGGCACACCCAGCTGACGTCTTCGACTGCAGTAGTCTGGGTCGCCGTCATCTTTCTAGAAAGCTGTTCGCTGGTGGCTCAGCCTGCTCAAAATGGAGTATTTCATGCGATGCGATGCATTCCGCGACTCCCGTTTAGGGAGGATGATACGGCAAGTTGAACAAGGCTAGTACTCCAAGCGACCACACTTGCATGCTGGGGAAGGGTCGCCAGGCTGTGCATGCGTCAAGCACATTACAACCTCTGGACATTGTTGCTTCGCCGCAAAATCGGTCCCCGACCTGATCTTCCGTCCAATCTACCGCTTATCGTGAGCTTCAATCGTCTGACTGCAGCTGAATTACCGATGCACGAGTACTTTGGGCTTGCAAGTAACCTGAAAGTGTCGAGTAAGCGCATTAACAACCCTGGCAAAGCACTGAGTCGTCCACACAAGAATGAGTAAGGTACTTGTCATTGTCGGCTCTTCTTGCCTAAATCAAGGCATTTTCTATCTGTATGGCTCCTTGCCCAGTCGTCTTATCCCAGGATTTCAGGGTGACACTGCGCATGTCCCTGACAATGTAATCTGCGCCCGCTTCTATCAGCTGTTCTAGTGTATGGGTTGTGTAGAGTCCCACCACTACGAACCCTGCTGCCTTGCCAGACCTAACGCCTGCGGGCGCATCTTCAAAGACAACGATGGAAGGTTCCTTTTCTTGGAGTCCCAGCTTCTTTGCGCCCATCTGATAGCACGCGGGGTCTGGCTTGCCGTTGAGTACATCTTCCGCCGTTACGAGATTCTTGGGATGCGCCAACTTCATGACATCAAGCCAGCCTTGCACAAGCGGCCGCGTGCCCGAGGTGACGATAGACCATGGAACGAGGTTTTCTTCGAGCTTGTCCAACAAGGCTCGCGAGCCGGGTATTTCAACCGCGTCTTGTCCAAACTCCTTTGGTATTAAGCCCTCGACATGGTTGACATCTTATCTGTCAGATGACTGCTTTTGTCAAAACAAAGACATAGTGCTTACACTCCATATTTGCGAGCTTTGGCTCGTAGATTTTAAGGACATCGATCGACCTTCGTCCATGCGATGTGGCGAGGATTACATTAGGATCGACGCCTATCTCTTTTCCAATCCTATGCGGATGTGTAAGCCTTTAGATGTGAAGAATCTTCGACACGACTTACTTGTGCCAGTGCTTGACTATTGCATCCGTTGAGTCGATGATAGTACCACTGCCTATTATCAGCTGTCTGCTAGCTAATAATGGCTTGAAGACTAAGGCTTACTCCATATCAAAGAGCTGCAGGTAATCAGTTATCAGTATTAGTAGTCTGCAATGCGACCAAGAGTGGTTCTTACCAGGCCATTGAACGTGACGGGTTTGGCCGGCGCCGAAAAAGAGGCTTCGGGTACAGTCATTGTTAAAGTTTACAGGTATAATCGATGAGCTAGCCGTGAACAAGGTCAAGATGTTGCTGTGATATTGAAGACTTGAAGAGGGCCGATGTATATAAGATATCTGTAGTAGGGAAAGAGAATGCATTTTAGTGCTAACTGCATCAGGAAAGCTACCCGAAAGCAGCCAATCATGGTGACGACTGTTTCAACAAAGTTAGCCGCAACACTTCAGCCCATAGCTGCGAGGACTAGTCTGTGGATGAGGGTCCTATTCAGGAGTACCAGAGATTGATCTGCGCTTGTTTTCGTCCTGTCAGAGGATGTAAGAGTTGAGCTTGCCAGGGCCGCGGGGGTGGGGCTAGAGCTAACTAGGCGGACACGAGCGGCAGAACTTTTCACGTGCCGAACTTTTTTTGGATCCTCTCACTTTTCTGAGAGACGAGTGCGACCAACATCTACCTCGTCAACAATTCACTATGAAGGTCGGAAGTAAGGCTTTCCACGTCTCTGAACCTCAGAGTAGCACTGACACGCACTGCAGAGCCAAAATCGAAGCGCGTACCCGTGCGTCTACGGCACAAGATTGAGAAGGCGTCGGCGGCGAAGCAAAAGAAGGCGAAGAAGCTAGCGAAGAAGGTACAGCAACTGCGCGCGACTGTAGCGCTCGCATGCTGACATGTACAGGATCCAACATGGCGCTCCAAGACGAAGAAAGAACCCGGTATTCCCAACCTGTTTCCCTACAAAGACAAGATTCTCGCAGAGGTCGAGGAGCAGCGCAGGAGAAAGGAAGAAGAGGCTGCGCGCCGACGGCAATTAGCAAAGGAGCAGAGGCTGGGAGGCGCGACTGCAGAAGATGCAATGGACGACGACGAGGAGTTTGAGCAGTTCGACGCCGAAGGTGACGAGCTTTTGGCCGAGGACAGCGAAGACGAGGATTCGATGCAAGTGGTGAGTTCACATGGTTAACAGCAGATGCGCGACTGTACTAAGAATGCGCAGGACAACAACTTGAATCCCATGGCCGCTCTATTAGCTTCCGCCAAGGCGCGCGCCGCCGAATTTGAACAGAACGACGACGACCAAGACGCCATGGAAGACAGTGAAGATGACGAATCGGATCACGGTGATGGAGTCAAAGTCGCCAAGGATGCGTCAAGAAAACAGTTTGACAAGGTATACAAGCAGGTTGTCGACTCGGCCGACGTCGTTTTGTATGTGCTCGATGCTCGCGACCCAACTGGAACGCGATCGAAAGAGGTGGAGCAGGCAGTCATGGCAGCGGATCGTGGAAGCAAGCGCTTGATATTCATCCTCAACAAGATCGATCTTGTTCCGCCGCCCGTACTTCGCGCATGGCTGGTGCACCTCCGCCGCTCATTCCCTACCCTTCCTCTACGTGCATCCAAACCAGCGCCAAACGCAAAGACTTTCGAGCACAAGGACCTTACGATGAAGGGCACATCCGAGACGCTCTTCAAGGCCTTGAAGACATTCGCCGAGTCCCGTCAGCTGAAGCGCTCAGTCAGAGTTGGAATTATTGGATATCCTAATGTTGGCAAATCATCCGTCATCAATGCCCTGACTTCAAGACTAAGCGGAAGGTCTGCTGGCTGCCCTACTGGTGCCGAGGCTGGTGTTACTACCAGTCTGCGCGAAGTCAAGATAGACAACAAGTTGAAGCTTCTTGACTCGCCTGGTATCGTTTTCCCAAATACCGAAGGATCCAAGGAAAGCAAGGTACAGCAAAAGGCACGACTTATTCTGCTCAATGCCGTCCCTCCAAGAGAGATTGATGATCCCGTTCCTGCTGTCACTCTGTTACTCAAGAGGCTGTCGTCTTCGGAGGAACTGTTTTCGAAGTTGATGGAAGTCTACGATCTACCTCCCCTACTCGCCGTGGGTAATGACAAGACAACCGACTTTTTAGTTCAGGTAGCAAGAAAGAGAGGCCGACTGGGCAAGGGCGGTGTGCCAAACATGCACGCAGCGGCACAGACTGTCATTAATGACTGGAGAGATGGTCGTATCCAAGGATGGACAAGCCCTCCCAAATACGTACCTGCCGAGACTTCTTCCACCAAGACTGCGCCAGCTACCAAGGGCGGCCTCGTCGGTGATC